AAGGTCTCATTTCTAGCAGTGCACTATGCCAACCCCCCGGCCCCAAAAGATCTTTCCTTTCTGATTTCCCTTGTGCCGGCGTGACGGTGCTCAGGAGAGCCATCTCCGCGGGCAGAGGCAATGTCATAAATCGGCCCGAGACTTTCTCTCCTGGGGGCACAGGGCAATGCAATGAGGACAGGAATCAATCGTTTGCTGCGTCTGCTGGGGAATAGGGCTAGGAGTAATGGGGTTTAAACTGCAAGGAGCAAGATTGATGCTAGACATTAGGAAATGCTTTCTAATAGAACAGACAGTTAATTACTCAAGTAGATTGCCTGGGGAAGCACCGGAGTCTCCATTACTGGAGGTTTTTAAGAACAGGTGGGGTAGGCATCCTTTGGGGGGAATTTAGGTGATATTGGGCTCATTTTGGAGCAGAAGGGTGGACCACACCAGCACCTTACCCCTCAGGTCCCTGTGATCCTGGAATAAAATTTGCAAGAACCCCGAACAACCGTGACACAGTGTCAGTGCTGCAGGGAGCTGTCACGGGTGTCTTGTGACGCAGGGTGGTTGTGGGTTGCTTGTGGTTTCTTAAACATGACTCTTTCCTTGAGTCATTCTAAGTAGCTGAACGCGATGGTGCCAACCGGACCTGTTCCACCAACGACCCCCGGGGCTGCAGGGTGGCGTACAGGTTGTGTGGGAAGCCGCGAGGCATGGGGCAGAGTCAGGAGGCAGGGTCACGACTGCTCCGCCTGGCTGTATCCATCCATCCAGGCAGTTGGGTGTCGATCCGTGGCTGTCCCAGGGGCTTTGGCAGAGGGACCGGATCGTAAAGCAGTTACTGAACTGTAGTGCAGAAAAAGGCTCTGTAGACAGAAGAGACCAGCCCATGGCGAGACCACCAAAAAGCACTGAAACCCTAAGTGCCAGTGGGTTCTGCCATTGCCCATCGCACTCTGCTTGTAGCTTTTCAAGCAGTTTTCCATGACAAAACAGGAGCCACATTCACCCCCTCCAGAGACCACAAGGCTCATCTCCCCAGTCTACCCTTCAAAACCTTGCAGAAGAAGGGGAGGAGAAACCCAGCCAGCTCTCAGTCTCCACTCCGCGTTTCTCCTGAGATGGTCCATCCTCTCCTGGGGGACAGCTCTACACATCCAGACCAGGAGGGTCCTGAGCTGGAAACAGCTGGAGGCCAGAAGAGTGCTGGGGACATGCAGTACGGGCATGCCCTCTTCTTCCCCAGCCATTCGTTTAATATTTGTACATTGAATATCATAAATACCTGTACTTCCCCACCTGATTTGTGGTACACCAGGGTTAGCCGTGTGCCCAGCTGGACGTGTTAAAAAATATAAACTGAACAGAGGAGATGAGTGTCAGAACCTGACTCTCCCACATGGTCACTAACGGGGAACTCAAAGTACATTTGACTGGAAGGTGGGTCTGGGCATGTGCTGCAGCAGAGGAGGCAGAGACTCTAAAGCATGCAAAAATGATAAAAGGAGAAGAGCAGAAGCTTTGATCAGACGGAGAGTGGGAGTGGGGGTGCCGGAGATGCCTGCAGAGACGGAAGCAAAGGTAGGAGCATGGAGGACTTTATATGTGAGAAGATACATAATTCCTTTAGAGTCAATCAAAGGAGGGCCAAAACAGTCTAGATGCAAATTACCACTCACCCCCTCCAACGTTCCTGAGCCAGTTTTCCCCAACAGCCATGGGATGTGGGGGCAGAGGAGATCTTAAACAAAATAATTTGAGTGTTCCTTTCATTTTCCTCCCGGTTACTGAGCTTTCAGGTAACTTCAAATAGTATTTTCCAGCTCTCCTGTACAATCGTGAGAATGAGAAATGTCTGGGATTTTTCTCTGAGTGACAGAAAGACCCCTGTGCAATGCTTGGATTCCAGCAGCTGAAGCTTCAAAAAAACCAGCAACCAAGAACCATGCTCCCAAATGTCGGAAAAGCTCCAATACTGCCAAGAGAGACTCTAGAAACTTTATGGTTATGTATGAAAAGGTGTGTACAGGCGCTACAGATTTGTGGATATTCATTTTGTCAGTACTACTGGGACAAAAAGAGACCACTCAGCAAAATGAGGCTGTTCACACAACCTCCAACGTCAAGATACCTTAGCTGCAGCGTTAAATATAGTGTAACTCTGAGCACTATCAATAGCTGACTTGAGACAACACCCATGTTTTACAAGGCAAAGTTTGACCTTCATTTATATTTTTACGTTGGAGATGGTGCTTATGAAATACGGAATTCCTCCAGGGAGAAAACCTAGGTGGTAACAGAGCAACATCCGTCACATGTACGAAGGCCCAGGCACACACCGCTTGGGATCGGGGGATTTACCTGCAGAGGGTGAGACTGGAAATCATTCCCCACAGCCTGTGATGTTACTGGTGGAGGCTGAGAAGTTGCCAGTCAGACTCAGCTCTGGTGGTGTTTGTAGCCTGGTATCTAAGGCAATGAAGCTCATCCGACACTGCCATCGCCAGCTTTCTCTCCATACATTTAAATTCAGTTTCCCCAGAGTAGTATCAAAGTACCTGCAAGTTTCACCAAAATACATAGCTGCGTAGAGAAGGGGAATCCTGTCATCCATACCGAGGAACAGCCTGCAGCACTCAGCCCTTTTTGGCAATGATAGAGCTGATGCAGGAGAGAGAGATTCTGCATGTCGCCACCCTAGAAGAGCTTGCTTGGTGCCTGCACTTTACGAGGCACCAAAGACCCAGCCGTAAGACACAAGCCAGTATGAAGCAAGGCCTCGCAGACCCACTGCTCACACAGCTGTTTTGGGGGGGCTATGGGTCAGGCTGAAGGGAGATGCATCTACTTTGTATTGGGCATCCAACAGCCCCAGATGGGGCACGGCTATCGGAAGCATGAAAAATGTTAGCTCAAGGATGGGCTAGAAATGGAAGTGTGATATGACTTCCACTTCTCTCCATCTCTCATGTTCTTCCAGGTATTCAGCCTACTATTCCCCTGAACCTCTGCCCCTATTTAACTTTACAGTTCTTATATACAAAAGCATCCAGAGTGATCACCTTGACAATATCAAGTGTCTAACTCCTACCTCCTCACGTGATACCAAGGCTATTTTTTCCCCTGCCATCAGAAGAGGGACAGCGTCAGGAACTATTCTCTCTTCTGAAAAAGTAGCTACAGATACCTGCAGAACCTGCACTCCAGCTAAAGGTCAAGCCTTGCGCTGCCAGACCCGTGTGAGGCCAGGACAGAACAGCAAGGGATGTGGCATGTGTGCCAGCAAAACTGTGCCGCGCCGAGATTAGCGCAGCCGCGACCGTAGCGCAGGAGAAAAGAGCCTTTGTAACGCTCCCTGAAGTAGGACGAGAAGAGCGAGATACCCTGGGGATTTGGGTTGTGGTGTTCTGATAGAGCGGTGTCTGCTGCGTTGGCAGCAGAGCTCCTTGCTGAGACGGTAGATGCTGCTGCAAGAAAAATGCTGCTCTTCTCAGGTGACAGGGGAAAACTTGTTCCTGGGCCCCCCATTTAATACATACATGCCAAACATGTGCAGACCAGCCATGTTCATTTAAAAAAAAAACAACAACCCAACAGATCCTGGTGAAACAGGAGTAATTGCGAAGAGATCAGAAACTCCTTGGCCAAGACAGGTATCTCGTTAATGAGGCCTAGCCACGGTATTTGCAACCTCATTTTCCCCTTCCCGCTCCAAGACAGCTCAACATTTAGTGATTTCTTATCTAAAACACTCATTACTGTCCCACTACGTGCTGCTGGGGGGTGTGTGGGATGACATACTTAGCCTTTGCATCAAAGCCGTTGTGCCGACAGTGCAGTTTTGACTGTCAGCCAGAGATGTTTGGTTTTCCTGGCGAATCTTTTTTTAAACACACTTCAAACAACCTCCTTTCATTTTCCCCAACAAATTTCAGACACTAGCACAACCCCCTGTGTTCTACCATCCCTCACGCTGCTTACCTCACTGTGCAATGCACCAAGGCCTGCAAAATCATACCATGGGGGGGGGGGTTAATTAACACTCAGAATAAATTATTCCAGCTCTACGTGATGCTAATTTGTACCTGATAATAACCTTGGCCTAAGTATTGGGCAGCCGCCGCCGTGAAGAATACCTTCCAGGCACAAGGGGGCTATAAACCCACCCAGTTTTGCTGCGTAGACAGGCAAATAGCTGAAGTACTGGCTCTCGGAGAGATGCAAACCTTGATCTCTGCTGCCCTGTCGGGATTGAAGCTTACGAAAACCTAAGCGAAATGACAGTAATTGCAACTGTGGGTTGTTTCAAGTGAAACAATAGCTGCAGCATGGAAACCACTGCCCGGTGGGCGGCGGCGCGAGGGTACACCGAGGGGGGGGAAGGAGAGGTACCGAGCAGCCCTGCGCAGGGCGCACGGTCGCTGAGGGCCTTTCTACGTTTATATTGACCGAACCCACCCCCCTCACGGGGGCCACCATAAACCACCGCAGCCCAAGCCCGCCAGGCCCGGCCCCGCTCCCG